TTGAACCAAAAGAAAATGTGTTTTAAAACTTCCTAAGTCTTTAAAAACTCCTCAACTGATTATCTGCTCAAAGGTAACTAAAAGAAATGATTTAATAGTGGCTTCCTGAAGGCTTTGTGATGTATGCATATTTTACAGCAGTTCTTCAGTCTAACAAGACTAACTAGAAGTATTTGCCATTTCAAAGATTTATTCTCACGAGTACCTGATGCATGTAAGGCAGAAGGCAGGTCTCGTGAACCAGGAGCCTCCTGTTCTCAGAAACACTCTGCTCCACGCTTACGGTTCTCTTTGTTTCCTTAAAAACAAATGTAATTTGTCTTTTCTCTTGCTAATCTCATCTGTGAATTTGAAACTAAATGAAGTATAATTCTGTATGGCATCACCTCACTGACGGAGAATTAAGCGTGTAAAAAATGTCAGGCTTTCCCTCTGCAGAAACTCAATTTTGCCCAAAAAACGCTGTGGGTATATAATATATGTGCACTTCTGCAAAATCTTATTTGAGAGACGCATTCGTAGGGTATGCACTAATGTAAGTGACAAAAGATTCAGCAATGTCAAGTCCTGTAAACAAACCACTCCAGGGAAGTAACATTAACACATAATTGTATGTTTTTACCATGTCAGACCTGTCACAAAAAATAATTTGAATTGTGATTATAGTAATTAATTTTTCCTCTGCCATTTGAAACATGCAAACTTATTATGGCAATGAGGATGATAGATTCTGGCCTGCCATTTTAGCACATCATATATTTACATTTCCATATGAAGAATTATTACCAAAAGATGTTAACAGGATGAGATCTACACATAAACATATCTTTAAGTATACCCACTATCTTTACATTAAGACCTGAAGGTCTTGAGGAAAAAAAAAAGGGGGTAAGACTAGGCAAGAAAGAAAAAGCAAAACAGACATTTTGTCCCCAAAATCAGGCAGGTCTAGAAATCACAGTGCTGGAAAACTGGTTTGTGGGGTATCGTACCAGTTTGAAAAGAAAGAAGAAAACGCCATTTTTCTGTCTGCTGTTGCAGTCCCCAAAATTCTGTTAATCTGACCATCTTTGTTTCGTTATTGCTGTATTAACATTGTGTCCGGGGTGAGTGGGTGGCTGAGCTTCCAGCTCTGTGGCACTCCTTCTGTTTCAAAGTGGAAATTTCTATGGCTTGACATATAACTTAAAGAGGGGGAAAAAGGGGGGGGGGAAAGAAAGGAGAAAAAAAAAGAAAAGAAGGAAAAGTACCGATTCAGCTGGTAGGAGACTATGATAATACTGTCACCAAAGGCACCTATTTAGGTGCGCTTATACGATGTAGTTTTATAAATAAGCCCGAGGGGCTCCTTCTTCGCCACCACCCCCTTCCCCGAGTCTCGCGCTCTGCCTGCCTGATCCCATCCGACAGTAGAGCTATACCGCACTAATCCCCGCAAGTTTGGGACTAATGAACTAACTGCTGGGCTGCCGCCACGGAGCTTGGTCCCAAACTATACTGTACTTCACACTCGATTTATTCTCCAGATGGCAAGACTGCGCAGCCCCGCCGCGAGGGACCACCTCTTCCACTGGAGTGTAAAAGTGGACGGATGTTGTTTTCTTTGCAGATTTGATAATTCAGAGCTAGGAACTCGTGAGGATGGTTAGTTATTAGGTTTAATGGGTGCCAATCGAGCCGGCAACACGCGTATTCCCATCTTTAATTTCAGTGTCTGTGTGTCTGGGTGGCGGTGGATTTGTCAGCGATGCTGCGTCACTGAAACCTTTATCTTCTCCAGCTGACGTAGCTGCGCGTGGTAATGAACGTCCTCCCGTGTCCTCCTCCGAGTCAGACAGAAGGGATGCTAAAGTAGCCACCCTGACCAACGTTTTTTTTTCCAGTGGGTTTTCCAGCACGAGTTGCAAACATAGCATATTTTAATAATATCACTGTTTAGCATGGAAGCTCTCTGTTGTCTTTCTCTCTTGTTCAGTCCAACCCATGTGGGACCCAATGGGGATACCACCATCACAAGCTACCTGGGGATGGAATCGTTTATGTAACAATCAGGTTTATTTCTTTATCAGCTCTTCAGTCATGACAGAGTATTATCCGATGTTGTAGTTCTTGTGTGAAGAACAGGGTAAATAATTTTTTTCACCTTTCCTTAAAAATTCTAGTTTGACCATTCTTGGCAGGGACTTTACAAACAGTTTGGAAAATGTGTCTATTCTTGCTTCTACTGCTATAAAGACCTTATAGAACTACTTTTTTCTCTACTATTACAATGTTGAAATAGTTTACCTAGCTTAAAATTATAGCTTTTCGCATGGATCCTACAATAAGAATAGCATCTACATTACACTGTGTAATGAGGCAGAAAAGCCTCTCCCTTTCCTCCATGTTTTTAGTACATTTAGTTATGTAATGTTTTATTGGAAGCCTGTGTGGGGATCTGATATACCCCACTAACATCGTTGGGATTTTCCCCGTTGTAGGAGGGGTAGGCACCGAGTCAACCCCTCACGAGCTCCGACGTTGGCAACCAGGCCCTCTCAGTTTGTCCCACAATTAAAAACATAAATCCTGATGTGAAAACTATAGTGACTAGAAGTATTTTATCATGGAAGGGAAACGTTTCCATTCCTGGGGTATCTAGGCAGACAGATCTAAAACGTAGTGGTTCTAAGAAAATGCATCAATTCTCAACCCAACAGATGGCATGGGCGTGTTAACTAACATAGCAACATATTTTCTATTAAAATATGGGAAAGAACAACAACCCCCTCCCCATGTTTGTTGGTTGGTATAAATTCAGTGAAGTTGTTGGTTATTTTTGGGATACGTACCAGAGGGCTGCACATTTAGTTTATGTAAATTGATAACAGCAACAGCCTGTTAATAAGTGTTTTGTATGGAAATATACCTAGAAAGACACGATCTGTCTTTTTTGGGAAGGGAGTTTGCAGCCTGAGGAGGAAAATAGCTAATGAGACGGTCTACTGCTCATTATTATAATATGAAAAAAATCATAATGAATTAGGCTGTAAGTTTGCTAGAGATGTGCCTTCAGTTGGAATTGGATGCTGCCTTAGTGGATAATTTGGGGAGATCTTTCTTTTGCAAATTGGATCAGTGTGTGCTGAAACGGTGATAATCTGACTTTAATTAAAAGCATAAATTGGTTTGGAGCATGTTTTTAAGCTACCCTTCTGCATCATATCCAGAAGCTTTCGGCCCAGCCCTAGAAACCTGTTACCCCTGATCGGAGAAGGAAAACACAGGGGATTTATGTTACCCAGTAATGGCATCATATGGTTCGGTTTACCTAATTCAGAAGAACCATTTCAGACGGCTGTGCGCCGGAGCTGTCTTCCAGCTGGACGTGTTTGTAGTAAACTGCATGCATCTTTGTGTGGCTTTCCTAATGGCCCCAGCCAGAGTCCATTCACAGCGGTTCGAACGTTTCGGGTTGTATTTTCCAGAGATTACCTCTGAACGTGCCCCTTGATCGCAGCACAGGGATGCGTACATGTGCGCCTTGTTCCCGTCTGTCCGATTAACTGGCATATGCTCCCAACCTTCGGAGAAGCACGACTAGTAGCCCCAAGCTGAAGGCTGCTCGCTTCAGATTTCATTAACTTTCTGCTTCATTATTTCTTCCTTTTAACCAGTTAGAGCCACCACTTGCTTTTCTCTAAACTTACCCTAATTATCGGGCATCCCAGCCCTGTAAATCAGTACACTGCAGACCTGTCTTAAACTGGCCTGGGAGACCCTGTTCTGATCGGACCTGACAACTGTAAGCTACTGTTCCCTCACACTGTTTAACTCAGACCACATTGGGAAACCGCCTCTGCCCCTCTCGCCGGCAGAGAGTTGCATCCGTCTGGTTTAAATCGACTGTCATGTGCTGTCTTGCTGATTGGTATTAGCCTGGATATTAACTTTGATGATTTTTTTTTATTTTTTCCCCTTGAGTTTGCCTGCTTTCTTGAAAAGCATCTCTATTCAGCGACTGCATATTGTTAAAGTCATTCCTGAACCTCCGTGAGTCAGGAGCTTTAAAGTTTTATTAGCCCCATAAAAACTCTTCACAAATGAAATGACTTTTGATAAGTGTGCATTTTGACAATGCAAATTTGTTAGGGGCTGTTGGCGACTGGAAGGAATTTGGGGTTGAAACTGCAGTTGGCAGGAAGCAGGGAGCCCAGCACCCTCCGTCTCCCTCCCCTCTTCTTCTCCAGGCCAAGAAACGCATTTCATGTCAGAAAAGCATACAAGTGTTCTTCATGCAAATCAAATATTAAACAGATTTGTAAATTTACATTCACAAAAACAGCGAACGGCCAGGGGAAGCACGTGTCTTTGGAGATTTTATTTTCTGCCAGCGGGAGAACAGCTTTTTACGTGGTTCAAGAAAAATCTACAAGTTATTTTGTGGTGTTTTCACATGCCAGTTGTGAACTCTACTACGGGCTTTAATATGCTTTGGATACATGGAGAAAAGGAAGATTTATGTAGCAAAACCGAAGAATTATATGTACCTCAGTGCTTTCTGACGTCCAGGCTATTTTAGCGCAGGCAATATAGAGATTAATTACAAAAATGAATTGTTTTATGCAAACTTATTAACGTGCCATTTTTGTGAGAGCAGAGGGTTAGTGCAACACATTGTGGTCAGTATAAAGATTTGTGTTTGTTAGACGTGTTCAGCAATAGTGGACACAAAAGTCATGTTTTCTACAAGTGATGGTGTAGAAATACTTAGACATAAAACCCGAGCATTTTATTTACCAGTTATAAAGAAACGAGGAAGGTAAAATTGCGAGGTGCTAGTGATGACTGCTTCAGTAAAAGTCCAGGAGTGACAGACATTTTGGGGACACCAATATACTGGCTGTCTAGCTTTTTCCCCACATCGTTTCAACAAGTTTTCTGCTCAGTGCACTTTTCTGTCAATAGAAAATAAGCTTTCTTTTTCTTTTCTTGTGCCTTTAAATACATATATATTGTAGAGAGAAGCAAGACTGACAGTTGTGAAAACCCTTGAAGAGTTTGACTTTGGCTGTGCTGAAAAGTGTGTTAGGATAAACTCCGTGTCCAGCGGTCTTGCAGAAGAAGATCTAGAGGTGCTTTTGCAGTCCAAGACCCTTCCTTCAAGCATGATGCTGCCAAAGGTTGAAAATGTGGAAGAAATAAGATGGGTGAGTAGCTACCTGTTTACCAGCAACACAGTAGCTTTCGACTGAAGCTGTTGGGCCAAGTTCACACAGGCATAGAGATGAATGGCTCTGAGTTATGAGGAAGGTTGCAAATACCATATAATGTCATTGCTAGCTAATGTGATTGGGAAATGCATCTGTTTAAACGTGTGTAAGACGTGCTATACAAAAAGCATACGTGAAACACCTTGCATTTATAAAGAAAACCAGATTTCTCTCTCCTGCGGTCAACGAAGAACCAATACTGATGGCAGAGTACCTTATCAAAAACAGAGGCATAAATATCTATCTCTTTTCTAAATACCCTAACATGCAAAATGACTGTCTACGTCCGTGTGCCTTAGTTACATACATTGTAAGCAGGAGATGGGGAAACCATGTTAGCGACATATGAAAAAATTGGTTGGGGGGGAAGGTCACTCCTTGGGGCAACTGGAGAAACAAACAGGAAGCTTTTAACTAGTGTTTTTAATTAGCACAGATATTATTTCCTGAACAGTTCTCTATTTCTTCCTTTTTAATTGCTGACAGGTGTGTTTGTGTTTCACAACTGACTTTTCAGCCAATAAAAACCTGAAATGTAGATGGTTGGCATGTCAAATTACTTAAGAAAACTTTGAAATAGGCCTAATTATGCTATAATTGTTTTAATTGTCAAGAAAAGGGGGACGTTTGTTTAGATATACCATTATTTCTGTAACATGCCAGTAAAGGAATAATGCTTAATTATTCACTTCTATATTTTTGCAAACCGCTAGCCGAGCAACTAGCACGCGTGCAAGCTGTGATGAAAGGCAGGCAGATGTATTAGGATCTATTTTAATCTCAGCATCTAACCTTGATCAAACCATTAAGATCAGGCGTGAGCGTACAACTGAGCAAATACATTGGGTACGTGACGAGCCCCGTCCGTTCCGTGGGACTGCCCCTTCGGCCTCCACCGCTCGCGATGGAAGGTACACCGTCCCCTTCCACCAACGTTTAATTAAATTAACCGGAGTATACCTCTCAGGGTTTACAGCCATGTAAGTGTTAGACGTAACTTGTCAGTAATGAATATTCATGCTTCCAAAATGGCAGGGCCCTTGCTGCCACCAAGTAGGTTTTGCGGGGAGGTGGGATGCTGGGGCTCTTTGTCCCCTCACCCCCTTCCACCTTCCCTCTCGCTAACTTTGATTTCCGTCATGGAAAACAAGCCAGCCCCAACAACTTCTGCCTCATTGTCCGCCTTTTGCTTCCCTCTCGCTTTGCCCAACCTTTGCACACAAAGAGCGCGCTCCGCTCAACGCCGCTGCCTTCTTTTCCCAATCCTCCCAAAATTCACCCCGGCGTGATTTTTCAGCCTCCCAGAAGCTGTTTATTTCCCCCCACACGTACCCCCTCCCCCCTTCATTTTTATTTATGTGCAGCAGAAAACCTGGAGGCTGATGCACAACTAAAAGATGGGCTTACTTGTTTTCTTTTGTGTGAGAATCTCTTGCTTTCCTTTTGTCCCTAGTGTGGGTACTTGTTTGACTGGCATGGCTTATTGGACTATAACAAGCGTAACTCTCCCTCCTTTGTGGCGGGACAATTCTCCCACAAATCCCGACCAGTGTGCATTCTTCCCGACACACTATTGGGTGTGCACTGGAATTGAAAGAATTGCTGAGGCCTTGCTACTTCATCCCCTCCCCAAGCTTTGTGGGTTTTTTTTCCCTCCGCCTTCTTTTTTTTTTTTCCCCCTTTCTCCCTGAAATGAACACTTTACCGGGCCGGAAACATTTAATCGTCTCCTTTAGAAAAAAAAAAAAAAATTAATTGAAACTTCTCCACTCTTTACCTTTTGTATTGGTGCTTATTGCAAATTTTTTTAAAAGGGAGAGGAAGGGAGACTTATTTCATTAAACGTGCTTTTTTTTTGTTTACCTTCAAAACAGAAGATAGCAAAAGTCCCAGGAGGGTGACTTTTAAAATATTTTAAAATGAAAGAGGAGGTCTGCTGCTTTAACTTGCACCTAAAATACAAACACGGTAGCACTTTTTACTTTTTTTTGCTTAAAAAATAAAAATCAGATAGGAGTCTTAAGAATATATGCTGATGCCATTATATTACCTCATTTTCTGCATTTGCCTGGATGAAGTTTACTGTTTTCTGTCACTATAGTACCTGCCATACTGTACCCTCGCACGTGTGAATTGCATTGATTATTCTCTTTTTTCCTCCTTGCACATTTTTGGGTGGAATTCTCTTCTCCGAAGAAAAGTTACCGAGAGGGCCACGGTGACGAAGCAAAGCAGGGGTGGGAAGGGCAGAATTCTTCATCGAAGAAAGCTGTGATTTATTTTGGCCTAATTGTAAAGTTACTGCAAATTGCTGGGAAGCTTTTTTTCAAGATCTGGGTGATTAGATTTTCCTTCTTTTGGGGAGGGGCTGCGGGGGAAGCTAAAAGGGGAAATAACACCTCTAATCCAGCTTCTGGTAAATAGGCTGCCAGCTTTTAAAATGAGTTTCCTTTCTATTAGTCGGAATATTATGCTAAGCCTTAAGCATTAGTTTTTTATGTTGCCATAGCAGCCTTATTCCTGCAGGGTTGTGACCTGCGATGATTACAGTACAAAGCTTATAGGGTCTTGAAACCCCCTTTGAAGATGAAAAGTCTTTGATGGTTTATATTTATGCAAATCTCTTAGATATGATTTACCCAACTGAGACTGAATGGAGAGATGATTAAAATTCCCTTTCCTTTGATATCCATTAATAGTCGAATATTCCTTAAATTTAAAATATATGCATGTGTTATTTTTGACTTTATTTACTAACATATTTTCGCCATACCTGCGATATGTTTATCTCTGCGCAAATTACTCGATCTGGACAGACACAATAGATTTACAATATAGGGCCGAGGGTTTTTTCCCCTCTCTTTTTTTTTTTTCTTCCCCCTTTTGAAAGGGGAAAAATCTGTGCAAGAGCTTTTGTATGTTTCCAGATGATAGATTTTGGAATTTGGGCTACCCCACTGGCAGCTCAGAGCTAGCTGTGAACTGGTCTCATGGAAAAAATTGGCAAGCTTTGGTCTTCAAAGAATTAAACTTCCTTTTTAAGGCCTTCCTAGGTAAGCTAAAAAATTATGAAGAAAAGCCTATTGAAAAAAAGGGTAACGGTGCCGTAATGAATAATACGGATGCCACTTAGAAGGCTGGGGAGCACTTCCAGTGATGGCAGTGCTGGACCTGAAACAAAACCGGACCTCAGGTACAGCAGCACTTCATTGTTTTCCAGGGCCTGCGGATTTGCATTTCACTAAGCCAGGGTGAGAGGTGCTAAGCCTAGATTTTTTCTTTTTTGCAAACCAGCCTGGAAACCTAGAAATGTATGGGAATGCTGCGGTTTCGAATCGCAGGCCTTGTTAAAAGCTGGTTTAATTTTTTTAATTATAAGTTTTGGGGGTGGGAGGGGTGCTGCTACAGCCAGGTGAAAATTTAATGTGTTATATATACACGTAGACTGTTTTTTTTTTTTCTCTGATCGCTCATACTGTCTAGTTTTAGTTTTCAGACAAATTCTTACATCACCTAAAAGGCCGAACACTTGTAGAACCAATGAATTTTATCCCTTTTGTGGAAACTGCAGTGGGCTTGCTCAATTTTAAGGTAAGCAGGTCTTGAAGTGTTCATATTTTGCCATTTCAGCGAACTAGGGTGAGCAGAATACTCCCCAGTCTCCCCCTGATTTCATCAAGGAAGAGAGGTTAAAAAATCCTAAACATATTGTTCAATCCCCCAAACATTTGTATGTTTAACTCTCATGTTTTTATTGTAAAGGCCTTAATAAATTCAAAATATTTCAGTGACGGAACAGTTCCAGATAGCCCATGCCAAGTAACAAAACCTCTGTGCATTACTGTGACCATTTTTAACATGCTTGGAGTGGAAACGGGCTTCCCCAAAGATTTTAAATGCTCACACTGTTGCAATACACTCGGCTATTTAGTAGCTATCGAACTGGACTTTTGTATAACCTGTAGTTAGAAAAAAGAATTATCATCATTTCACTATTGCTAAACTGTATCTTCATAATGGTTTCTGCTGACAACATTACAACCAAGTTTCACGTTACAGTTTTTTTGTGTGTATGATGGGATGTTTAATGCTAAGCTTAGAAGTATAATTAACTTTGAAAATAAGAAATATCTGAAGAACGTGCCCCTTTTTTAGGGTAATTTTAGATCAAATCTTATTTTTAAAGTGCGTTTTAATATAAATTACTCCCCAAGCTTTACTACCAAGTCCAGGTTTTTCAGAAAGGCAAGGCAGCGTGGTAATGAAACGGAAGATCTCGTGCGTGCACCAGGAATTCAGCGTTCCCCTGCCAAGCTCTAAGGGAAAAGTTTCAGACCAGCTGAGGACATACACATCAGAAGTACCTCCAGAAGTACCGGCAGGCCTCGCAGGCAGCCTGCCCGTTTGATACAGCCATTTATCCTGCAACACACGCTAACATATCTGGGAACATAATAAAGCAGTAACCAAATACACACGCTCCGGTCTGGTGTGCATACGCAGAATTAAATCATATTTTAAACCGGCTGAGGTTTTTCTTCACATGCAGTATTTTATAGTGGAATTTTTAATATTGCAGTTCCTGGTGTTGGCAGGAGAGTTGCCTTTTAAAGCACTCTGGTTAAGAATAAGCTGCCATAGAAGAACACCCGCTAGTAGAACTTGTAATTACATCTGTCTCTCTCCGCGTACCTTAGCCTTAGAAAATATTAATACTATCCAAACTTCGATATAAAATAGTAATATTTTGAAATGCACTTCGTCATAGAATAGCTACAGCAGCAAAATTTTTCGTGCTTTTATTTTAATACTTTTCTGCAGCACTTGTTGCATTTTTAACTTCCTTAGCTACTTTTTAGTTATATGTAGCAGAAGACTTTAAATTGGCAATCCTATGAGGAGTCCTTATATCCTGTAAGGAGTCCACAACCGTTTTGAACCGTTCATATTATTTATTTAATAAAAGAGATCCTGAACTTTATTTCTGTTTCTCATGCAGATATATTGCGTGTCAAACTAATCAATCAAATTTAATATTTTTGGTTTGCCTTTAAGCAGTACTTTACAAATGTTTTGCATCGTATTGTTACATAAATATCTGAGGTACCGATCGCAGTAATACCCAGGGCATTACGTCGACCAAAAGGTAGGGAATCTGCTACGATGTCCTGTATTTACGCAGTCTAGGCG